TGTGAACTCTTGATACTTCTGTCAGGCCCTGCGCCGTTCGGAAAGGCGGAGGCTAGGGAGTGGTTGAGCACAAAGGTGTTCGTACACCGGATGCCGCTCCACCACCCCGATGACTCGAAGTCGACAACTGTGATAGGCGTGCAATAAGACTATGATACTATGATGGGGTGAGAATACGACGAGTATCAAGAGTTGGGGGAAGAGATCCTGAGACGTCGCCGTATATGTGACGATACAGTGTCAGCGGTGCCGATGTGGGTACCGATCGGTACCGACGCCGTTATGAGGTGTGGAGCGCCATGCGATCGGGATGCGTGGTTATCGCGTGGTGGTTGCCACGTGGCCAACATGTGTAGTCGGTGCTCAGTAGTCGTTGTCGTTCGGATCGTCACAGACGCCGCAGCGAGGAACATTGCGCAGCCGCGGATTGTCTCCGGCGGGAGCAGAATGCGTTCGTTCGGGCTCGGGTCGCTGTCGTCCGCCGTGTGGTCCGGTCTCCGAGAGAGCGCGTCCGCCCTGCCGTTGGTCGCGCCCGGACGATACGAGATGGTGAACTCGAACTCCGCGAGTTCGTCTGCCCAGCGCGCCTGCCTTCGGGACAATGACCGCTTAACCGTGAACCACTCCAAGCTCTTGTGGTCCGTGATCACCGTCACCGCGACCTGGCATCCGAGCAGGTACCGTCGCCATGTCCGCAATGCCCACACGATGGCGAGCAACTCCTTGTCGTGGACCGGGTAGTTCAGTTCCGCCGGCTGCAGTTTCCGTGAAATGAACGCTACCGGGCGGCGCACGCCGTTATCGTCGGTCTGGCTCAGGACCGCTCCCTGCGCCGTGTCCGACGAGTCGGCCTCCACGTCGGCCGCGTGGGCCGGGTTCCATATTCGCATGACCCGGTCCGATGCAATCTCCGCTTTCAGCGCTTTCCACGCCGCTTCGACGGTGGGTGTAAGCCGAAAACTCTCCTTGCGGCGCCCAGCCGCGATCGCGTCGTGAAGCGGGCGCGATGTCGGTAAACGCCGGTACGAAGCCCCGATAGAAGTTCGCGAGGCCCACGAACGAGCCGACGTCCTTCGCGTTACGCGGTAACGGCCACTGTAGGATGGCCGCGACCTTCTCGGGGTCCATGGACAGACCGTTCGGCGATACTACGAATCCCAGGAACGTCACCGTGGCGGCAAAGAACCGGCACTTCGCCATCTTGGCGAACAGGCGGAACTTGCGCAGCCGCAGTAGTACCTCGCGGGTCACGCGGACGTGTTGCGGGCGGTCCGCCTTGGTGTATACCAGGATGTCGTCCAGGTACAACGCTATCGAGATCCCGATCATATCCCTGAAGATGTGTTCCATTAATTTCTGAAACGTCGACGGCGCATTGCACAACCCGAACAGCATCACGAGGTACTCGAACAGCCCGAATGGTGTACGGAACGCAGTCTTGGGCTCGTCGCCCTCCCGTATCCGCACCAGGTTGTATGCTCCGCGGAGGTCGATGGTCGTGAATAAATCAGCACCCGTTATCTGGTCAAGTATCATGTCGATGCGAGGTATCGGGTAGCGGTTTTTGATGGTGACGGCGTTCAACCGCCGATAGTCATGGCAGATCCTGTCGGGACCGTCCTTCTTCTTCGCAAACAACGTCGGTGCTGCGAAGGATGAGCTTGATTCGCGTATGAATCCCTTCTTGAGATTCTCCGTCACCATGTCACGAAGTTGCTGTAATTGTGCCGCTGAGGCCTGGTAGCACGGGCCCACACGCAGACGGGCTCCCGGCTCCAACTCGATCGCGTGGTCGAACTCGGTATGTGGCGGCAGCCTGTCGGCGAGTTTAGGGCTGAACACATCGGCGAGGTCTCGGTACTCGTGCGGCAGTTGAGCTTCGAGTTCGCGGGCCTCGTCCGCATCGAGCTCGTTCGTTACCGTGTGACGAACTGCTCTGGGCTGTTCCGCGGCTACCAGCATTGACTCGGTCGGTCGTGGTCGAAGACGCCCTTGCGTGTAGTCCAGGAACGGCTGCACCGTTCGCATGAACGTGTCGCCGAGAACCACCCGCTCCGGGTGGGTGCGGAACACGTAGAACGTGCCAGTATACGCGTCGAATCCGTCGCCGAAGACGATCTCCGCCGTGACGGATGACTTTACCTCCGCCACCGATCCGTCGGCCAGCTGTACTGACCGGGGGCTGCGTAGCGGTGTTAACTCTAGCCCCAGTTGTTCCACCAGATCCGGGTGAACGAAATTTTGCGTCGCTCCCGTGTCGACGAGTGCCGTCGCGTGCACCGCCGGGTTCGCCGCGAAGGAAACGGGGACCGTCATCGCGTTCTCCGTGCGAGCTCCCGACAGACGCATGCTCCGGGCGTAGAACGTCATCTCGTTCGCATCGGGCTCTTCGGCGTCTACGAACTCCGGCATCACCTCGTCGTCCCCGGGTTGAGCGACAATATCCTCGTCGTCCGGCGCATCAGCGAAACTGACGGTGGTATGGAAACGGTCCATCGCCTCCTCATCCGTCCACTGAGGTGGCTCGAGCGTCGGTCCCTCCGCCGTGGCCTGCCGAAACGCCACGTTTGGGCGCTGGAACGGGCGCCGGTCCGTGCGTGTGGCGTCCGTCGTTACCTTGTCACGCCAACGTACGTTAGTGGGTGGCGCCGGTTGACGCTCTGGTCGCACCTGGTAAGCGCCCGGACCCGTGGTCGGCGGGCGGCTCTCGCCGTATACCTTCTTAGCCGGCTCGTACGCTCCACCGCTACCAGTTTGGCGCGCGTCCTGTGGCCTCTGCTCGGGGGGCCGGTACCCGGTGACGACGGGCCGTCTCGTGGTCACGGCCCGGACGTGGGCGAATAACGACGAGGTCTTGATCTGTTCCTCGGCCCTACGAGCGTTACGGTACAGCTCGCCGAGGTCCGACGGATGTAAGTCCGCGCCCCACAAGCGTATAAGGTCCCTAATGTGAGGGCGTAGGCCTTCGAGGAAACACCCGCACAGCGCCGTGTTGTCCCACCCCGCGATCTGGGCAGCCTGCGTGAAACGCAAGTGGTACGCTAAGACCGAAAGGTCCCCCTGAGGGCGGCGCAACGTGCGTGCCGCCTCGGACGCCGGGTACGCCGGGCCGAACTGGTCCAGTAGGTGACAATGGAACGCCTGCCAGTCGTAAACGAACGCTGGGGCCGCGCTGAGGCTCCGGCCGATCCGAAGCAGCCGCGCCGGTTCGCCCCTAAGGAAGCTAATGGTCCAAGTGAGCTTGGCGAGGTCCGTGACAAAACGACGGGGGTCGCATGCCACGTATGCGTTACACTGAGCCAAGAAGTCGTGGACCGTGTACGACGGGTCGGTGTTGTCGAACGGCTCAGGGTTGCGCCCCTCGACTGAACGGGGCTTCGTGTCGGTAGCGAAATCGGCTGGGCTGAGGGTCGGTGCGCGCCCCATCAGGAACTGTGCCGCAGCCGTGTGGGCGCTGACGTTCGGTTTCGCGTTGGTCTCTGTGGCTGCCGAGTTGCTCCTGCGGTTGCCGTTACCCGGTGACGAACCCACGTCAGACTCCGAAGAGGGCCGGCGTGTCGGGGGCATGGGTGTCGGTGCCGGCCGCGTTGCCGGCGCCGGGGACGCCGGGCGGGCCAACGCTTGTTCCTGCTCTCTCGCGGTCTTCCACTCGTGGATGAACAGTGCGTGCGCTTGGGAGGTACGGTCCAGCGCCGTGATCTGGCGGGTGATGCTACGCATCCCGTCCAACAGTTCCTGCATGTTGTCCTCCATCGTCGCCTGCCAGTTGGTCGGCGAGCGGCGTCCCTCAGACGACCCGCCCCGCGGATCGCCGGTGCTGGAGGGGGGGCGGGGTGAGCGGCTCGGAGGTACGTACTCGTTGCCGCTACGGAGCGCTCTGCCGTGACCAGGTAACGCCATGGTATCGACAAAAGAATTGTGTGTGTGTGTATGTGTGTGTGTGTGTTCCGGAGTCGAGTAAAACGTATGTATCAAACTGTCGTGGCGAGAGACTCACCCAGTGGGGTGAGGTACTCGAGTCCGGCAGCCGTCGACGATGCCGTCGACGAGGGCGAGTCTAAGAGACTGGAAG